AGACACAGCCTCTGTCTTGGCCCAGGGCTATCCAGAAGACAGGCAATCTGGGCAAAATGAAAGCAGGGACTTCACTTCCTCTCAGACATTAGCCCCATGTTTTTGATCTTCACTAATCACCAGTGGGAACAACAGAATACAGGAATCATTCAGGTTTTATCCACTAAATGTCAGCAAACAAGAATACACAAAAGAAATTTCTTCTATGTGATTTCTGTTTCCAATTTGGGAGAATATAATGGCAGGTCTTTCCACAGCCTAACGGCAAGTGCCTTACTTGAAAGTCACTCATACCTTCAGTGTTCCTTTCTGAATCTAACTAAGAAACCATGTTTGGACTATGTCTACATCTACCCACTCAAATTCTTCATATATTTCTTGTTAACGTTTTATTGTCAGGCAAAATGGGCCTGAGTTGGAAGATGGGAAAGAAAACAGGGCCCCAGGGGCAGAGCCACACTCATTGGCAGATAGAACTGCTGCTTCGGGGCTTGGGGTGTCACTGAGCAGCCCAGTGCTTGCTTAGTGTGTATCAGGTCCTGGGTTCAATACTAGCACCAAAAGAGCAGCAGCAGAAAGTGTAGTATCTCACCAACGTGTCATGGGAGTCCTGGGAGGTCAGCTTGTTGTGACTGTGCCCAGCTAATAGTCTGATTGTGATCACATGCAGGGGAAGGATCGACCAGCTGCTCCCAGGAGACCCAGCATCAGGAATCAGCTGAATTTCTAGATGTACCTGAAGGCTTCACCTGACAACCACTCCTCCCAGGGACTTCTGGGTGATACACTATACTGGGAATTGCATGCCCTCCAACTACTCAAAGCATAAACTGTGCTTGGTAATCCTCTCACTTCCTTGGAGGATCTGTCATCTTTGAAGGGAGGACTTCTGACTACTTGTGTTAGCTCCCTTAGTGGGTCCCCACAAGGCCATTGAAGTATGAAATAAACATGAATAACGGGGAGGGTCAGGGTTTTAGCTAAAACTCAGTAGTACTCACATGCCTTACAGTTTTTCTCAGAATCTTGGCTCAAATGGCACTTTACTTTGCTAAATTGCGAGTTAATATTCTGCCAGGGACCTTCAAGGCATGGTTTAGTGGTGCCAAGGCCATTCTTCCATTGGCCTGTTATTTCTGGTGTGAACTCTCTCCTTACTTTGTGGGACAGTTCTTCACAGGTTTGCAAATACTTTTGCTAAATTTTCATTTGTGGTTTTACCATTTTAATTCCAAGCATCCATCTCACCTTGTTGATTATCCAAATGGCAGTTAGTCATAATTTTCCATGAAGAGGAAACATCTTTGTTCAGGGGAAACAAGATAAGCCACCTGCAAAAGCAATGTCTAAACAATCACAATTGCTGCTATGTGCTTTCACTATTTCTGACACAGTAGCTGGACATAAAGCAAAGATGACTTCACAGTCGAGAGGAAAGGGGAGCTTCTCACTTCCAGATGAATAACTCTCACTCTGCTTTTGACTAAGGGAAACCCATTCACTTTTATGATGAAAATCAATGAACTATACCAAACACCTCTATGTAATCAGTCAAATGTTGCACAGATACAAAGGTCAGCAGTCTTCTCATGGGAAGAGGTTTCTGGAACTTGAAGGTGTGCCATCCTCCCTTTTAAAACAACTATTGCAAACAGACCTACAGGATACATAAATTGGCAATATCCATCTATCACCTCTTCAAAACTACAAAATCTTTCCATCTTACAACTATCAAAATAATGTCATAACAGGACTATAGCAACCATAACAGTGACATTTACAATGTGCAGTTTAACTGGGGTAACACATCAGTGTCTTCATCATGAAGTGGTTTCCCTGAGACATGGTCTTATTATTCCTACAGAAAATGACATCCAACTGTGAGCATGCATTAGCAGCACATTTCAGTTGTAAAAACAATGTATCCAAAACTGTCACTTTCCACCAAAGAACCATTAACAACATCTGAAAGCTATCATGTAAGTATTTATCTAGTTCCTGAACATAAAGAATTTAATGTTAGAATAGAATCTCACAGGGGGTCAAGGTGTGAGCATGTGGAAGTCATCAGTTTCTTTTCAGTCACAAGCCCAAAGTTCTGACAAGCTGTTCCAACCCAGATGGCCTTGCACTGCCCTGGCAGGTGATTTGGTGCAGATGAAAACCAACATTTACAAAAAATAAGAGACAAATAGTAAAAGTTGCTTAAAAACAATTTTTTCCTACCTTCAGACAGATGTGGGCATTTTAAAAGGAACCCAGCATGCTTATTTTGCATAAATCCTTATGGGGGTCGGGGCACAGCAAATTAAAAAGGAATTTATATTTTATGCATATTAATACTGATAGGATTGACTAGACAATATTGTCTCCATGCATCTTAAACCTGAGTGTAAATTACTGATGATGTTGCTGGAATTACACACAATTATCCAGTTCTCTATTTGTTCCTGAACATCAAAATGCACTGCATTTAATGAACCCCAAATGTTGCTTAAGTAGAAGACCTTAACTTGTTATGAATTTCATAACAATGTTCCTCTGTGTGTGTGTACATTTATGTGTGAGTGCATATATAGTGTTGAAGATGGAACCCAGGGCCTTGTGCATACCAAGCCAGTATTCTACTGCTGGAGATGCATCTACACCCCCATCCGTGTTCTGTGTTAGGATGCCAATGCAGGTGAAGCCCATTCTCACACATGTTCACATGAAAACCAAATAGCAACCTCGAGATTTCTGAAATTCTTCCACCAGTTGTGGGTCATGTGTCTCTGTCACTATTCCTGAGGTGCTGCAAAGATCCCTGCTGTAGCCAGTTCCCAGAGAACAGAACATTTGCCTTTAAAAAGTAAATTAATGTTTCAAGTACAGATAAACAGAAAGAGCTGCTGGGCCAAAACATAATTAGCTGAAGCATTTTTGTATCAAAAATTGTCTGAAGAGATTAATTCAAATTCTATCCCATACAAATATTCAGTCACTGGGAATTAGATGGATTCAACAATTCATAAAGATTTCATTGTATAATAAATCAATAAAAATTATACAAGAGAAAAAAGAAAATGTTAAATGCAATCAAGAATAGATTAAGAGGCCTATTAATCTCAAGTAACCACTTCTTTGCACTAAAGACAGTTTAGCTGACCAAAACAAAATGTCTGTTCTTGCTCTCGTCTGAAGGTCACAGAAGTGGGCTTTTGAAAAGTTAACTTCGTGGCCTGGATGTGGTTCTGTGCACAAGACTTCCCTGGCCAGAGCCTGACTTTTCCTCAGAGATGTGGTCAGGATGACAATTTGCCAACTGTGGAACTTGAGGGAGAATTCAAGTTGAGCACGCCTGGTCCTTTAACAAAACTCTCATCAACAGCAGAATTGGGCCTGAGTTGCTGCTGAATAGGGTATTCATTGGCTTATTTTACTGGCTTGCCTCCTATGGCCAAACAGTGTTACAGAGAACATTGGTTCCCTTTTCTGTCAGTAAGGTAAAGTACATACATTAAAAAATATTTCAATCTTTTGTTCTTTTCTTACCAAAATTATGGATTCCATTCTTTTCCGTTTAGTATATATTATCATTTGAGAAAGAATTTGAGTATTTGAGATTTCACACCATAGCATAATACATTCTAAGCATGGGCTTCTGTCATGATTCGAGTCTGTACTCCTGTAGACCTATGCCTACTGAATGAGGTAGAAATTCTGCCTTTCACATCAGATGACCTAAAGAATGATTGTGCAAGTAGAAATAAGCGGTTGAGAACACTGGCCTGGCTGCTCTTTCAGAGGACCTGGATTCAAGTCCCAGCATCCATGTGGCAGACCCTACACTAGGAGATTTGACATCCTCTTTTGACTGACCTCTACGGGCATTGCACGACACAGGTGCACTTACCTACATGCAGGCAATACACTCATACATGTATAATAAAATAATAAATAAAATTTTAAAAAAACATTAGGACTAAAGAGATGGCTCAGCAGTTAAGAACATATGCTGCTCTTGCAGAAAACCCAGGTTCAAGGGGTGGAGAGATGGCTCAGAAGTTAAGAGCACTGACTGCTCTTGCAGAGGACCTGGGTTCAATTCCCTGTGCCCACATGGCAGCTACAAACTGTCCTTAACTCCAGTTCCAGGGGAATCCGAAGCCCTCTTCTGACCTCCATGGCATTGCATGACACGGGTGCACTCACATACATGCAGGCAATACACTCATACACATAAAAAATAGAAAAATAATAAATAAAACAATAATAATAATAAAGAAATCCCAGATTCAGTCCCCAGCATCCACATAGCAGCTTATAACCATGTGTAATTCTAGATCCTGGGGAATCTGATGCCCTTGTCTCACCTCCATGGGCTCTGCATCCATGTGGTGCACATATACATACATGTAGACAAAACACTCATACACATAAAACTAAATAAACCTGTTTTTTTTTAAAGGAAAAAAAAGCCGGGCATGGTGGCGCACGCCTTTAATCCCAGCACTTGGGAGGCAGAGGCAGGCGGATCTTTATGAGTTTGAGGCCAGCCTGGTCTACATAGTGAGTTCCAGGTCAGCTGGGGCTACAAGGAGAACCTGACTCAAAAAAAATACAAAAAAAAAAAAAAGGAAAAAAAAAACTTTGCCTCAGTAAACCATTAATAATATTTGGGTTCGGCATGTTAACTCCCTATATGGATGGCATTGGTTAGAGAGCTGAACTTGAAGTTTTCATGTCTGTATTTGTATTTAAGAATCACAGTGCATTTTAATTGTTATTTTAGCTTAAAGTAAAAAAAGATTCATCAGTAATCCTCAAAGTCATTACTGTATGTTCAAGGAAAATTTGGCTATTTGTGTTAATTAAAATTAATATACCAATTTTTTAAAATAGTATGAATTCACACTCAATGTTTTGCATATTATTCAAAAGGGTTATATTGCATTTTAATCACTGCAAATATATTATACTAAATGTTATTCAATCTCACTTGAAATACAGCAATGTAATTAAAGATAGCAGAAATCACTGAGAAGTAGAAAGTATAATTTCAGCTTCTAGCTTGCTAACTATATATAATAAATTATTCTCAAAGTGGACGCACATGCAGTTTGAGTTGATGGTTACCAGAGTTACAAGAAGTCAGTTGAAGAGACGTTTTAACCTAGTGACTGAGAAATCCTCTACATGGAGGTAGGACACTCTGCTTTCTCTGTCTTTGGGATGTCTCCATGGCTAAAGAAGGAATTCATATTATATAGCTGATCTTCTTTGAGATTCTCAAACAATAAACATTTATTTTAAATGCAAGTAATAGGTAAGGGGATTTGTCATAAAGACTATTTAATCTCTTTCATAGTTTATAAATTCTTCAAAGTGTTCAACAAACATTGCAGGTGTGGTTAGCAACAAAGCATCAGTCTAATGGGAACCCTCTCCTTCCCTATGCATATGGTCCTATGCACACACTGCACCCTGTATACCAGTGCAATCTGAATATCTGACAGCTGCCCCAGACATGTGCAGGGTTATAAACACTGTCTACACGGTGTTTCAGGACCTCCAGCACCAAGTGGATTAGAGAGAACCAACCATTTCATTTAAAAATCATATATTGTGAATTTCTTTTAAAATTAAAAATGAGGATACTATAGTCCACATAGGATATTGCACAGGGTCCTATAGTTACTTTTGTCTAAGATTATTTTTATATATGGAAGGCTAGGTATGTTTAAGCATAGTTTCAACAATTCTGAGTACAAAATATTCCTTTGAAAAATATAAAATTTTTTTTAAACCAGAGGAAAGTTGTGTGCCAGTGCCCCTCACCACAGAATAATTTTGCAGCATTTTCTCCCAGGCGCACTGATAGCCCAACATCTTACATGTAGTGCATACGAGGGGCACAGCCTCAATCACTGTACTTGCCATACCCCCTGCAGGACTGCTAGAGAGAGGTCCTGCTGGCCCTCTGGCATTTTGTTTCTTTTCTACACCTTTCTAGCAGCATCCAGTCCTGGGCATCTTGCAGTCATGGCTGAAGTCCAGAACTGGAACTTCACTGGGACACCACATCTACTTCACATGCGGAGGTGATCTCATCTTTTAGTTTGGTAATTCTTGGTCCCCCATGGATAGGAATGATACCTAGAAGATCTAGAAGTGGAAAGAGTTCCATAGAGTCACCATTATTTTTGTCCACACAGGCAATTTCATAGCTATGGCTAGGGAAAACAAGAATAACAAATATACCACAATTAATAAAAGTGTTCGATCGATCAATAAAAATAGGAACTCCTGCCTTTTGCTGAAACTCAGTGCTAACAGAATCTTTCTTAAGTTATGAATACAATAATAACTGATAATCCTTCACAGTAGAAAAACATTCAAAGTAGCTTGTACCACACACTAATGTCTATGTTCATTAAAAGCTGTATTACATGTTCATCAGTCATGAGGAAACAAAGCAATGCACATTGATTCAATGTGAATTTCTTTTTATCTTGTATATTGTTATTTCTCAACATATTCCATTTTCATCATTGCAAAATATTATCTAATGATCTTAGAAGCCAATGAGATGGCTTATCAGGTAAAGGCCTGTGTTGCCTAGCCTGACAACCTGAGATCCACCTGGTGGAAAGATAGAATAGACTCCTGTAAATTGTCCTTTGACTTTCATATACATGTCGTGTGTGCGTGTGTGTGTGTGTGTGTGTGTGTGTGTGTGTGTGTGTGTCTATGTCTGTGTGTGTGTTTGTATGGAGATACTAGAAGTCAACCTTGAATGTTGTTCCTCAGGACACCATCCCCTTGTTTTTTGAGAAAGTGTCTCTCACTGGCCTGGAACTCACTAATTAGGTTAGGCTGACTGGCCAGCAAGCTTGATGGATAAGCCTGTCTCTGCCCCTCCAGTGCTGAGATTATAAATACACACTACCACTCCTGACAGATCCCTGCCCCTCCTCCCTAGTGCTAGGATTAAAGGCATACACCACTATATCTGACTTACTTGGGTTTAAAATATGAGTTTTGGTTTTTTTTTGTTTTTTTTTTTCATTTTTTAAAAAATTTTTTTTTTCAATTAAAGTTACAGTTTTAACGTTATACAAAATATTACAGTAATTCAGATTTTTTGGCATAATGATTACAGATTTGATAAATACATTTTATATCTCGTAATAGCGATGAAGATTATACAAAAGCTATTAAAACAATTATGAGAATAAATTCTATTGTCACCCAAGTATCTAAAGCCATTTTCCCTTGCGTTCCTCCAGAATGATTTGCTCTCATTCCCCACCTCAACCTGAGGGACCCCAAGAAGACACTTGTTTTTTTTTTTTTTTTTTTTCATACAAAAGACTTCATTCCAAGGCAATTGACATTGAGATGTTT